CGCCGAGGGTGCTTGCGGGGACAGTAGTGGTATGTGAAGAAGTTCCATCCTCAGAAATATCCTCCTCGTTGCTGCTATGATTAGTACACTTAACATGAGACCAAAACCTTCTCCTTCGTAACCCTTTCAGAACTTGTACGGGAGAAAACAAACAATGAGCAGCTTTGTGGAAGAACTCGAATACATTCTCGATGAAGATTTCTATCGATAAATGAAGATCCTGCATAACAACATAAAGAGGAGGAGTAAGTCTGGCACTAGATACCCACTGATCTTGTACGATTCGACTATGAAAATCGCGCGGGTTGGGACGTTGGGTCAGTTTATCTACATGGTTGGTTTAGGATAGGGTCGTAGAGTCACTTTTAGGTGATCCTATGACCTCATAACAACAATTAGTGACATGTAATTCCTCACATCAACACATTGGATCTGTTTGTTGTGATTGATTCGATCTGACCCACTAGCTTGACCTGACCCGGTTCTAAAGGGTCGGACAGAGCCAAGAAGAAAACATGAAACGGGACGGACCAATTTTGTAAACTGGCCCTACAGGGACGGGTCAAATAGGGTTTCTTACACGATAAACAACGAGTCTAGCCCAGTTTCAGCCTAAAATTGTATCCTTAAATGATAATAATAATAATAATAATAATAATAATAATAATAATAAAGGATAGAGTCGTAGAGCCACTTTTAGATGATCCTATCACCTCATAACAACATACAATTAGTGACATGCGTAATTTCTCACACCAACACATTGGATCTGTTTGTAAAGTTTTTTTTTTAAGAGTTTAGGTACTATCAAATGTCAGGTAAAAAATATAAAGGTATTAAACATAATACTACCGCTGAAATAAAATCTTAAAAAAAAAAAAATCAGTGTTGTGATTGATTCGATCTGACCCACTAGCTTAACCTGGCCCGACCCTAAAGGGTTAGACAGGGTCAAGAAGGAAACATAGATCCAGACGGACCAATTTTGTAAACTAACTCTACAGGAACGGGTCAAATAAGGTTTCTTACACGATAAACAACGGGTGTAACCCAGTTTCAGCATAAAATTATATCCTTAAATGATAATAATAAGGGTATTAATTGATTAATTAGTGGGCGAGAAATTAACCTTTACCTCAATGATTCCACGTCTCTTATCAGTAGCACGATGAATGAAAGCATGCCCTTTTCCTGTGGGTGTTGAACAACAAGGTTGGTAATTACTGTTATTATTATTATTATTGTTATTATCTTTGCGGGAGCGATTTGTCGTTGGTTTTTGATTGCTGAATATAACTCGGTAAAGAGAAAGTGGTATCTTTAAGAGGAGCTTGAGAGGAATGAGAATGCATGAGAAGACGATAGTTATCATTCTTATTATTGGATGCTTATTTTGACTTGTGAATTGAGAGGAGGAGGAACGGCGGCGACGATGGAAGGGCGATCCAGGAGGATAATTGCATCCTTTGTCTTGCCGATCTATCGGAGAATAATACGTCGAATCGTTATCGTCTTCATCCGAATCCGTCGGTAGCTCGTGAACGAACTTGTTGAACGAAGATACTCCGCTGTCAAATCATAAACACACACGGCATGGAAATTAATTCGTCAAAAAAAAAAAATATGAAACGGCTCGATCGATGGGCTAAGTTGAGATTTTCTTGTGTTGAAAAAAAAAACAATCTTACTTTTTCATCCAACGAGGAAATCGGGGGCCGCGAACGGTAGGTCTTAGTTCCCATCCTTGAATCCCCTCGAGAATCTTAGCCTTTCCGGGCAAAATGGCCAGTAAGAGTGCCGAGAGCCCGTTTATTAATCTCACGATGTTGTGCAATGCTTCATAAGTGAATGTCTTTACCGACCTGCAAAAACATACAAATCCTCAATTTATAAACATAAGATCCAATCATAAAATGTCGATGGTTGACCATGCATATACACGTCATGTGCGCACCTCATAATTGTCTACAAAATTGAAGTGTCTAATTAGTTTTGAAATAATTTCATTTTCAATTAAGCATCATATGGGAGCTTTGATAATTGATACCACCCATCTTTGATATTTGAAAGAAACCCTAGGCCAATATATGAGCTATAAAACCAGAAGTATACAATTTGAGTAATTGAAATAGTATTTTTACGAGATGTCGAAAAATATTTCGCGTTTTAAGAGATGCATGGTGGTGATCAGATTGGTTTGCAGTAGCTTGCTATGATATTAGACATAAAAGATGTTCATGTATGCATGTTGTTAGAAATTGAGGTTTTCGCCTATAGTTCGAACGAATAAGGGTTTGACAGCTTATTAGCATATGCTATTTGGAGAGGCCTAGGTCTAACATTTTGTCACTGTCAAAACCTACACGAACAGACATTAACTAGGCATCATCCATCTAGCAAGAAACTACTATTTTGCCAATGCCCATGGGGATATGGGGTTTGAGAAATATGGTAGTTTGGAGGACTTGTTTAGACTAAATGTGAGAAAAAGTGGAATGAGGTATAATGCGAAGTGGGTATTCCTCGTTTCCGTAAAATGTAACTCTTCAATTTCATGAATTTATCCATCTTATCGTTTTTATCACATTCACAAGTTTAGATTTCAACATCTAACATTCAAACACGAAAAACATATTTTTTTTCGTATCATCTATACCACCCCTGCAAAATATACCTAAACCCAAATATGCATGTTCTAGCCTCAAAAATTTTGTCAACTATGAAGCAATATCTTTTTGTCTACCTAAACCCAAATTTGCATGTTCTAGCCTCCAAAATTTTGTCAACTATGAAGCAAAATTTTGGTGCCTCAAAATATGAAGCACAAAACCCAAGTCAAAATTTTGTCGCCATGATAGAGCAATATCTTCTTTTGTCAAGTATGCATTTGCCTAAATCACAAAATTCAAAGCCATAATCATATGTGAATATAACACCATATATTTAAAGAGGAAGATCGTACTCTTTCGTAACAGCAAGGGTTGTATCAATAAATCTTTGCATCTTAATCTTCCTTCTGCATTTGCCTCTCCTTTTAACAAATAAATTTTCTCAATTGAGAGGAATTTAAAAATGACAAAGAAAGGGGAAAAGGAAGAAGAAGAAGAAAATTGGGAGGCTCTATAGTTGTTGTATCTCGTAGAATCAAATACAAAACGTTTTTAAAGATAACCTATTCTTGCAAGGTTCTAGTTAAAATGGTATAAAAGCTAAAATATTCAAACATTTTTTTTATGGAAGAGAAAATGGTTGGTATGAAACTATATATAATATCGACATCAGAAAATTCACATACTACTTTATTATTTCTCTTAATATATAAAATATTAGTAAGTTTATGAATATTTAGGAGTTTGTGTATCAAGACGTGTGATACAGAGTTTGACATGTCATTAACTGAATGATGTCTTTTGTCCAAGTACTCAACACCTTGATCTAATCAAAGTTTCTTGATTCTTCCCCAAGTAGATTAGGAACTCCATTCTTGAATTCTTTGAAAAATTCAAGGGATTTTAATCTTGTACTTGGTTGAGTAGATATAGTCATATCTATTAAAATCATTCATATATTTATAGTATCACAACTCACTCTAATTGGTTTTCCGGCTAGAGTGAATTGTGATGCAAAACCACAATCTCGTATACAATTAAGCAATTGTTTGTCCAAGTGTATCAAAGGTCTTTGATTCTCTTCCCAAGTTGATTTGCCACTTATTCACCATCGTGATCACTATCATTGTTGTTTGATTCTTTTTACCAAGATTTGGTTTTTCTACTAGAGTGAGTTGTGATACAGTACCACTATCTCGTAAATGGTTGAGGAGCACTTTGACCTGACCAGACCACGTCTCTAGTGGGCTAGCCAACAAGGTTGTTAACTTGGGGGGTCGATCCAGGTTGAATCGGATTCGATATAAAAAACGGAAGCCACACAACTGTTTTGGACTTCACCTGAATTTGTCAAACCACCTTCAACTGGGTCAAACTCCCGCAAAACCAGCTTTAACCCGTCAAAATCTGACAATATCGATCAACAAACTTTCATTTCAGAAAGCCACTGTGTCAATGGCTTTCTCACTGGTTGTTCAAGTTCATTCAATGTATCAATCACACGAACTTATATGGTGGATTTAAGTGTATTTGAATTTTAACTAAATGTTGGATTCAACTTTCAAGTACGAACTATTATTTTGATGTAATGTTATATGTTAGTACTATGTAAGATGAGATTTTGACATAATGCACATATGCATGAACAATATAATGAATTTATTCAAGAATAAACTGGTATACACCAAATCTCACCGTTAACTTTCACCCACTTGCTCGACCTGACCAACAGACTAAACCGAATAGTTGCTAGCCACTTAGCCAGACACCACAGAAGCTTGGAATTAGGGATGTCAATCCAACCCGTAACCATGGGTACCCTACCCGACCGTAACCGGTCAACGAGGGTAATTACCCGCTTTGACGGGTTAAGGGGCGGGTACGGGTAATACCCGGTTTCAAAATAAAGGGTAGGGTACGGGTATGGTAATCGATAATACCCGCCCCGTTATACCCGCCCCGCTAACCAAAGGGTCAATTTCCCTTGAGAAATTTATTTTAGCTTGAGAAATTGAGTTTAGCTACCATTATTGATGATGAATATGTAAACGATTATTATGTTTGTGTGGATTGTAGAAGCAAGAACAATTATTATGTGTTTGTTGTTTTTATTTGTGTGGATTGTTGAAGTTAGAACAGTTACAACTTACAAGTATTGAGAATTTTTAATGGACAACAGTATATATGTGCATATATGTGTATAAGTTCATAGTTTAGGATTCGTACCCATGGTTACCCGAATACCTGTGGTTACCCGGTGGGTAGGGTATGGTTATATCATTTTCATACCCGGTGGTTATTTGGTCGGGTATTTTAGAAAGCTCTACCCGGCGGGTTAGGAGTTGGTATAGGGTAAACCCGCACCCGACCCTACCCATTGCCATCCCTACTTGGAATGGCTTCAGCTTCACCGTTCGCACTTCGCATCAAAGCTTCACTCTGAAGACACATTAACGGATTAACCAACCTGAAAGGAACAGAGAAAGAAAGGAAAACCCCGATTAAATTTCTTTTCATAATTAAAGCCACCATTTAAATCTGCAATAAGTGTGTTTATAAAAAAAAAAACAATAAATCTGCAATAAGTCCTGCTTCGTCTCTTAGATCTCTACCCACCTGATCCTCCCTTCGCCGCCTGAATCTCTCGTTTCCGGTTAGAAAAAGCTCGCGCAATTTTGAAATTGAAACCAGGGAATCGCGACACTGAAACAAGCTTCAGAGATCCAGCAATGGAGTCCACTCCGCAAGGAGTTCCCGAGCGGGACAAGCCAGGCGGCCCTACCTCTTCTCCTGTGTCCGTCGTCTCCAATTTCTGGAAAGGTATTCGCTCCATCTCCAGTTCTGGTTCTGTGATCACCGGATTTGCCAAGTAGTTCCTCGCAGTGTGTTGCCAAAAGCAGTCCTGCTACGGACTCTGCTGAAAATTTTCTTCCACTTCTCTTTTATGCTGGTCTTCGTTTGTTGGGAGCTGGGGAGTGTCTCACTTAAATTTAACAGTTGCTAGCTGTTGAGAGGGATCATACTGGTGTTTCACGTACAATGTTGGTTGAAAGAAAATTCCATTGTTGTTCTTCGTCTGGATTTGATTAGTCTGGAATGCGGATACCTCTAATGAAAATCCTTCAGCCAGGGCCGGAAATTTGTTTCAACGGGCCAAAACCAGTGCGAAACTAGTTAAAAGAATTGAAAAATTGGTTGAGTAAGTTGAGATCAAACACCACGAGATAATAACATAGTAGGCTCTGTCCAGATAGTATGCTACTGATGAATTTCTATGGGTGGGTTAATTCTGGCGTCGAAGTTTACAAACTACAGAAATACTCTTTGGCAAGATCTTACTGCATGTGTGTGCGACATGATTTCTGTTGACCTGCTTCCAGCTTTGATCCTTATAGTAGTAGTAGGAGGTGATGAGATGCTTAATGCAACTGAACTAGATCCGAGCCTATTTTGTGTTGCGGGCATGTTTTTCGTTTTCAGTATTCTAGACTTCTGCCCTTTGTGCCAATTTGAATGAATAGAGTTAGTAAGGTGAAAGACAAATTCTTCAGGTATTTTATACTCGGAAGGATGATTTCTCTTTTCATTTATGGAGTTGATGAGATGAATGCTCACATAGATAGTAACTGAATCCTCTATTTTTCAGAATTTGATTTGGAAAAGGAGAAAAGTGTGCTTGACGAGCAAGGTCTTAGAATAGCTGAGAATCAGGAGAACAGCCAGAAGAATCGACGGAAACTTGCAGAGAGCACTCGAGGTAATTCTGACCAGCGGAGGATGTTCTCCTTTGGGAACATCTGAAAAGTGCATGTTGATTTGGTCTCTTGGACCTTAATTGTCTGAAATAATTTGCTTCCTGTGATGTGTATTGGAGAGGCCTTGAGCTGGTATCTGCTGCCTACCATTTCGTTAACTCCCACTGTTTTTCCCTCTATACCTATGTTGGAGATGGGTGAAGTTGGACTTACGCTTTCTGTACATATGTTTACAGATTTTAAAAAAGCTTCATCGGAGGAAAAGTTAGGTTTATTCAACTCCCTACTAAAGGGATACCAAGAAGAAGTTGATAACCTTACCAAGAGAGCAAAATTTGGAGAAAATTCCTTTCTTAATATTTATCAGAAGCTGTATGAGGCTCCAGATCCATATCCGGCCCTTGCATCAATTTCTGTAAGCAGCGCTTCTTTTCATTTATTGGTTCTATTCATGGATGTCATGGAAATGGAGTAATGCTGCCAGCCTGCGTGTTTGTTGTTTGGGACTACTAGAACTGCATAAATTTTGGCTATAACTAAGTGTTTTATGAAGATAATCCTAGTGCTTTGCCTGAAGAGGTGATTTTATGCTCACATCCCAGTCCTATATCTGTGAATATGTTCGTTGGTTTTTCTTAATTGAATGCTGGAGTTAGAGGTTTGCCCTTTCTTTAGGTAGATTTTGATAGTAATTATGCATTCCACATTATTTTAATGCCTAAAGATGTCATTTAATGTTTTGCGAGGTTTTGCTGCTTCGTTCTGTTAAAGGTTTGCATTGCATTTTTGTGACTATAGTTTGCGACGGGTTTTCCAAGTAAATAGTTCTTTGAGCAAGCTTTGCTCATCAGTTGAAGTGTGACTCATACTGAAGGTATGGCATGTCCCATCTGATTTGTCATTCCTTCAATGCAGGAACTTGATCTAAAATTGTCTGAACTAGAATCAGAAAACCGGAAAATGAGGCTTGAGCTGGAAGAATTCAGGACAGAAGCAACTCACTTAAAGAATCAACAGGCAACAATAAGAAGACTAGAGGAGCGCAATCGTCAATTAGAATTACAGGTATGCATTTAGCTGTGGTCTAGGCCATGGATTCAGGTCTTGTCCAAAAAGAAAACTTAAACAAACATGGCTTCTATATTTTAGGGTTGTTGTATGACTGTGATCTCTGTTGTGTAGTGAAGTTAGATGTGTGAAACCTGGATATATCTATGGTTTTTTTTTCCTTTTTTTTTTGTCGAACTCTCCCTATCTGTAAGAAATTTGGCACCGGAGACATTATTGTCTGTTTCAGTGACTTATGGCAGGATTACTTTTCTTATGTTCTCCAAAAAAAAAGTTCGGAATAGCTGCTGTTTTGTTACTTTATCTGCTGTCCATTATGTAACTTGAGGAAGCTGAATACATATGATGTGTTTATGTCCATAGAGCATAGCTGTTGTTGTCATAAACCAGTTGGTCCCAATAACTCGAGTTGTTGGGAGAAGGTTATGCTGGATCTTATACCACACTCTAACACGCCCCCTCAAACGAAAGCCAACTCATGGGCTTGAAGTTTGCACAGGCCCACCATGCCTTGTGCTTTAATCAACTGTTAATATTGGGGGTCGTGGAGATTCGAACACACGACCACTTGGCCAAACCAGCTCTGATACCATGTCATAAACCAGTTGGTCCCAATAACTCGAGTTGTTGGGAGAAGGTTATGCCGGATCTTATACCACACTCTAACCGTTGTGATTTCGTCCCTTCTATGTTATTAGGATATTTGGTTTCCTTTTGTACTTATGTGGTAGTACCTGAGTTTTTTTGGTATTATGGTTTCAGATGGAAGAAAAGGTGAAGGAAATTGTTGAGATGAAGCAACGTAGTTTGGCTGAAGAAAACCAAAAGACCTTAGAAGTGTTGAAAGATAGGTGGGTAATCTTACACAGCTCCTCTTTTTCTGACATGTCCTCTGAGAGTATTATTCTGAAAGTCCCCTGAATGTAGCCTCCCCAATAACTTGAGTTTTTCATATATCAGCATTAGATTTTTGGCTTGTAACTTGTTCTCCTTTCTAGGGAGCAATCGTTGCAAGATCAACTACGACAAGCTAAAGAAAGTGTTTCCAATATGCAGAAACTGCACGAACTCGCACAGAGTCAATTGTTTATAGTTCAGGCTCAATCAGGTAAAATGGTATTCCTTACTTTGAAATGCCAAATAGTTATGTTGCTCAAGTAGCATTGTTTTTGTCATATCTTTTTTATTAAGGATAAGGAGATTGTACTAATGACCTGCATATGAGATATATGCAAGGTTTTCAGGAGCATACATAGAGTTCCATATTTTTTGTTGTCAATTGTCACAAGCCCTTATTTAATTTTTATCGCTAACTGCTGTGAAACAATGTTTGTATCCTCTTTGAGCTGGATATGACCTCTTGTGCTTGAAAAAAAATTCAGATGAAGAAAGTGCTGCAAAGCAATCAGAGGTCAATCTTTTGATGGATGAAGTTGAGAGGGCTCAAACACGGCTTCTTAGTCTCGAGAGAGAAAAGGTATGTTCCATGTGTACCAGATCCAACTGATAATCAACACCTTTCAGTTCCTCATCTCACTGTTCCTTCTTCAAACTATTCTCCAATACGCTTCACTTATATGCAAATACATACTGGTTTCTTTCTAACTTCTAGTCTGCAATGGTGGATGTCCATTCCTGTCATCAGTTTTGCTCGTTTTGAATCTTATGGATTCTTGATCCACGAGGAATCTGCTGAATCTATTTTCTGAATGGCCGTGTAGAAAAAAAGTAGGAAACAGACTAGAGTACCATCTTTACATTTCTATACTTAAATCCAAGTATAAAGCCATGTTCAAACTGATTCGCACTTAGCCTGCAAGACTACATCCAAATTCCTGCTGGGTCCTTTGATTTCATGCCGAATTTCATGTCTTGATGACAATTCTATGTGATTTGGCAGGGTGTTCTGTGGTCTCAATTACAATCTGCAAATGAAGACACGGGAAACAAGAGAAGGTTTGAAATATGTCAGCATAGCTGTTGGATTCCTTTCTGCTTCTAACTCACCAGTATCCAGTTAAAGATTTACTTTAGATGTGCATACAACAATATGTAATGCTGTCGATTTTATGATGAATTCATCCAATTAAAATCCCCCACGGTTTTCTGAGCTAATTATCTATTACTTTCACAGTGACAATTTGGATTCTAGTAGTATGCTGGAGAATTCTTTGAGTGCCAAAGAGAAGATTATTTCTGAACTGAACATGGAACTTCACAAGATTGAGACAACCTTGGCAAATGAGCGAGAACAGCACATAAATGAGATTAAAAGGTTGAATGCACTGATCAATGAGAAGGTTAGTTTAAGGCTTTGTAGCGAGGATAATATTGGAATTGCATTGTTCAGTTCTAATGTTCTCAAATAAATAGTATGTAGCTCGATCACATTATAAATGACATCTGGGTGTTGGGCTTCTCAAGCTACCTTTTCCAGTATTACGAAGCTTATTCGTTATTCCCCAATCTCATGATTTATAATAGACTATAAGGTATCAGTCTAATTGATGACAGTTCGCCTCAGTTTTTTCTTTTCACATTTTGCTTTCCTTTCTTTTCCCCCATTTTTTCAGGATGTTGCGATTCAGGACGTGAAGAAAGAACTTCAAGCTAGACCTACACCAAAATTAGTGGATGACCTACGTAAAAAAGTGAAAATTTTGCAGGTAATACAGTTCACTTATTGGAATAATTCCAGTCTTGTCTAGGTCATTGGATTTGGTGAATTCAGTGAACTTTCTCCATCTCGTTTGTTTTCTGGACAAGCTAATTATGAGAACAAATGGGTTAACCAAAATAATCTGTTATTCTTCTTCATTTTTGTTTTCTTAGTTGCAGCATTAAGTTTGACTATTCTACTGTTTTACTTATTTATCTAATTTCAGTCTTCTCGGTCTTCTCAAACTAGAGGGAGGATGTTTGTTGCTGTAGATGATTCAGCTTGCAACCAACTTCAAAAGTGATCGTTTCCTCGTAATTTTAGTGCTTGATGTGCTTAGTTTCACCCTAAAGATTTAAATTAGCAACCTGTCGGTTGATGTTCTTTGTTCTAGAAAAGATAGGTTGCTACTTTTTGTGTGCATCCTGTTTTTCTCCTGTTTATGTGTTGTTTACTTTCTCTTCTTAATATTAATTGTATGCAACTTAGTCAATTGCATTATTATCTTAGTTCCTCTGGTGCAATTTTTTTATAGTCTTTGTCTTCTTGTATTGTACGCTATTCTATGATTTAGGCGGTGGGATATAACTCTATAGAGGCAGAAGATTGGGAGGTTGCAACTAGTGGTGAGGAAATGAGCAAGATGGAATCCCTTCTTCTGGATAAAAATCGGAGAATGGAACATCAAGTGACACAGTTGAAGGTAGAAATACACCTTTTGTTACTGCTTATGTTGTCTGTCCCCCCCCCCCCCCCCCCCCCCCCCCACACACACACACACACACACACCCCACCCAATAATAAAATACTCACCCCATCAATACAAAACCTAGCTCAGGGAAACTTCCATCTCTCTCCTTGTCCCTTTTATCTCTAAATTTTGAAACAACTATCTGGACTACCCTTAATGTGGCATGTGGCACATAACGGACCATTTAAATTGCTGTGAAGGGGTTTCTGTCATTTTTATTTCAAATGTGTGGTGCTTCCAGGTCCAACTTTCTGAGAAATCATCCTTGCTGGACACAGCTGATAGCAAGATTGTAGAGCTTACTTCCAAGGTTAATGAGCAACAGAAGTTGATTCAAAAATTGGAAGATGATATCTTAAAGGTAAGTTATAAGTTACCTTGTTGTCAGAATCAATTAAGTACTTATTAGAGCTTCGTTCTTAGTGGGCTTATAGAATGTTTCCCGTTGCTTATCTAAACCATCATCTCTAAATGAATGAAGGTCAATCTAGTTTGTTTGAAATCCTTCGTCTGGGATCATAAAAATCATTATCTAATTGATGATACCCTTTGATCTGTTTGGCACTGTCTATACTTGTTAGTTTTATTTCCGAGCTGAAGACGAAACTGATAACTGTATTCTAGGTTTCTAATGGATGTTAAATTGTTAATATATGTTACCAGCTGAGTCAAACTGTCATGTTTAACTTTTATATTTAGTAATTGGCAGTAAGTGAACCCAGTAGTAAGGGTTTAGTAGTTTTTAAACTTGTATCTTTAATATACAGGGTTATGGTTCCAAAGATAGAAAGGGCAGTTTATTTGAGGATTGGGACCTCTCAGAGGCAAGTGGAGCAGAGTCATCTGAGGTACAATCCATCCTTCTTTTGGTTGCAGCCATTATAGTTGAATCAAAGGAATTTACTAGTGACAACAACCAGGGGATATTCTTGAACAAGAATTAATGTGGTCTTTGCTAAACAGTATCTAGCTGTCGATATTTCTTACACTAATTTGATAAGACAACAAATGTAGTCATTAGTGAATTGCTGAGCTTACGTTGCTAAGTTATATGCTGCTAAACCTCTAGTTACACGTTTATTGCAACAACCCTGATGGTCATCCAGGGTGGAGGCTGCATGGCCTAGACACTTCCCCATTTTCAGTATGCTTCGGGTAAAGTTTGTCACTAGATGTTCCTTGTGATAGGTTAGTTGTCCAAAATTGATCCTCATCCCTGGCTGCGGGTGCTATGCTGTTCTCTTGTTCAGGATTGATACATCTCTTTTCAAAACAAAATTTGAAAATGGAATGGGGGAAAAGAGAAGCAGAGAAGCCTGTTTGTCCAATTTTATTGCTTTTATATTGTTCTTGACTTGTATCTTGATGCAGCATCTGGACCAGAAACATGTTTCCTCGGATCGAGACCAGAGTTCAATGCTTAAGGTGATCTGTAATCAACGAGATAGATTTAGGGCACGTCTAAATGAAGCAGAAGAGGTATAGTTTGTCTACTTTTGGTTTTGTGCAAGCATTTTTTTTTTTTTTTTTGGTAAGTGGTGCAAGCATTTATGTCTTATGAGGATGATTTCACATGGACTGTTTTTGGAATGCACCAGGAGATAAGGCAACTGAAGGAGAGAATTGGAGCTCTGACTCAGGAGTTGGAAAAATCTAAAGCAGATAATGTGAAGCTGTATGGGAAGATGCGTTATGTCCAAGATTACAATCTCGAGAAAGTAGTTTCAAGAGGAGCTTCAAAGAAGGTATACCTTGTGTAATCCCACATTTGTCTCTCCAAAATTATTTATTTTCCTTTCTGATGGACTGCCTTTCTATTTGCCATCGTTTTTTCCACTTTCGACTTTTCCAGCATGCGGAGGACCTGGAAAGTGGTTCTAGCTCGGATGTGGAATCAAAGTACAAGAAGATATATGAAGATGACATAAATCCATTTGCAGCGTTTTCAAAGAAGGTTTGTTTATTAGCTCTATTTCCGTCATTTCCCTCTACTCGCGAGTCTTGTTTTACCATGGCAGCTTAATACTCTTATTCGTCTAGTCAATCAAGAAAAATTGCATTCGGAGAAATGGTTCGCTTGTTAGATAGGCTTTCTGATCTTATTTCTCCTCTTATAGAACTGTAAAATGCTTACCACTGGTGGGCATTATTTCATACTTGTAGGAGTTTTAGATCAGCTTCTTCTCTTCATCACTTTTGTTGTTTTTCTGGAAATCTTGAAATTATATGCTTGTTTTCCGACCAGCTTTATTGTCTTTTCCAATCACTCTTAAGAAAATGTGTGTTACTTATTCAGGAAAGGGATCAACGGTACAAGGAGTTGGGATTCAGGGATCGAATCACACTCAGCAGTGGACGTTTCGTTATGGGCAACAAGTATGATTCTTTCATTACCCTCTAAATCAATTTTCTTGATATACATCTCATTTGATGAAAAGAATAGGCATGACTTTTCGAAATGAGGTGCACCTGTGACAACTAGTATCAATTCATGATCATGGCAGATATGCACGTACCTTCGCATTCTTCTACACAATCGGATTACATGTTCTGGTGTTCAGCTGTCTTTACCGAATGTCGGCTCTCAGCTACCTTGGGTAATGACATTTTGCTGGCTCTCCCTGTCGAGACCTGATTTTGCATTCTGTATGTGAGTATGTCCAAGTGTCTTATTTTATCTTTGTGTTATGTATCCAGCAACGGCGAGGAATCACTGGTTGTAGATCAAACGATAAACCTCCCACACGCACTCTGATCTGCCAACGATAAGAAGCTGAAGTTTTGATTGAACATACGAAGAGTGGAGATTTGTCACGTATCAGAACTAATGCAATTTTGGGTTGGGAAACTCCTGCTGGTTTCAATCTTTGTATGAATGAAGGGAACACAATACTTTTGTAATGCGAAGTTACTTGCCGTCTATTATCTGTAATCAACATGGACAAGAATTATCTCATTCCACATTAGGCGAAGTTCACTAGTCACTACTGGTAGATGATGTTAATAGGTTTAGGATCCATCGTTGTTTATGTACCACATGTAGTACGCAATGCCTCAAATTATAACGAGTCTGTAGATTGTTCACTGTTAAGTCTTCGGAAATCATCGATCTCCAAGATAGACAATCAGAGATAACTGGTTGCTTCGCCGCAATGCTGACATCTCCTTCTTTCCCTTGACTTTATCATACCTCTCCACCATACACAGAACCAAGAAAACTAAAACATGCGACAACAAGAACAGCAGGAAGCAAAAGTACCATCTGTAGCATGCGGAGCAGCAAGGACGAATGACTACGCTCTTGTCAACAGTTGCTGCTGCAGAGCCTTGTACCAGGATAAAGAAAATTGGAAAAACGATCGTTGCAAGAATTTCTCAAGCTTACATATCGAAGGCTTCATCTAATCAAAGACGTCTTACAAGGATCAATCTTTCATGGTTCTAGACATTATGACATTACAGATTTCTGCAGCAGGTTGAGAATCAATCCATCATGGCCTAGTGAGATGTCTCATAACAAAATCAACCCAACTGAAACCAGATTACGAGGAGCAACAATGGAAGAGACCGAGGAGTATTCATTCAAAGAGTACTCCTAGATATTATGACATTACAGATTTCAGCTGGAGGTTGAGAATCAATCCATCAAGGCATAGTTGGATGTCTTATAACAGAATCAACCCAACTGAAACCAGATTACAACTAGCAACCATGGAAGAGATTGAGGAGTGTTCATTCAAGAGTACTCATAGGCACAATCTTTCCTGGCAAGCCATAGTGAGAAAAGTATCCGTGGAGGCATTTCAGGCTAGGTTAGGCTACCTCTTACAGAACAGCAAACTCCCAATAGCTAACCTAGAAGCATCGCAGCATTCATGACAACAATTCACAAGCAGGGTTTGCAGAAATAGAGGCGACATGGCCACATGGGAGCAAAAGATCAGTGAACAACTGGTAACCCAATTCCTATTTACAAGTTATGTCCTTTTCCCGAGAAAGGGAAGTTTTCTCAGCTTAATGATCAAAGATACAATGCCTAGTCCTAGTTACAGAGAAGAAGCCTGACCTGAATTGTAAACGAGGGAAAGGCAATTTCAACAAGGCATCATTTATACCCTAAATGATCCTTGCAAGAGTTTCTCAAGCTTACATATATACCCTATATCAATGCCTTTATCTAATCAAATAGGCGTCGTCTTACAAGGATCAATCTTTCATGGTTCCAGATATTATATGACATCACAGATTTCTGCTGGAGGTTGAGAATCAATCCATCATGGCAACCATGGAAGAGATCGATGAGTATTCATTCAAGAGTACTCATAGGCACAATCTTTCCTGGTAAGCCATAGTGAGAAAAGTATCCATGGAAGCATTTCAGGCTAGGTTAGGTTACCCACTACAGAACAGCAAACTCCCAATAGCTGACCTAGAAGCATCGCATCATTCATGACCATCACAATTCACAAGCAGGGTTTGCAGCAATAGAGACGACATTGCCACATGGGAGCAAAAACTCACTGAACAACTGGTAAATCGATTCCCATTTACAAGCTACGTCCTTTTTCCCCAGAAAGGGGAAGTTTTTCTATCAAAGATACAATGCCTAACCCTAAGTAACAGAGAAGAAGCCTGACCTGAATTGTAAATAAGGGAAACTCAATTTCAAGTTTTCAACAAGGCATCATTTACAGTAACGATCGGCCTTCTTCTTGACGCGATTGTCGAGAGCGTCCTCCACCGTCTTCTCCGTGGCCTTGGGGTCGTAACCGAACTTCTTGGCCTCGACCGGGAAGAGATCCTCGTACTTCTTCTTCCTCGCGGCGTCAATTGTATAAACCTCAGCGCCACCGGCTGCTCCTTCTCCTCCTGAAGCATCGGCGACTTCGCCGCCCTCCAATTTCTGCGTCACGTCGCCGTCGTCCAGTGTCGATTTCTTCTGCTTTTGCTTCTTCTTGTTCTTCTTTTTCTTGGCGATGGCTTTGCTAGAGAGGGCAACTTCGCCGCCCTTGAAGGCGAGTCTGCCTCCTTTCACTCTCTCGTACGGGTCCGACATTCGCCTCTCCGCTTCTTTTTCCGGTGATCTAACCAGTTAACGAGCCGACGGTCGACTATGAGCAAATAAATACCCTCTTCCCTGGTAAATTGGAATTCCTGTCAACGAACTTAACTTCTAGTCCACTAACTCAATTTATTTTCCATTGCAGTCCCTCAAGTTTTATAGGTTAACAGATAGTGTGGTTAGTTGTTATTTTATCATTTAACACTCAACCCGTCAATAAGATTACGATAAATAAAAAATCATTTAAAGTTCAAACTATCATAATTCTTGTCGGTTAAGGTCTGTTGGGTGCATGGCTCGGGTTAGGGGTGACTATACGGTCCGGTCCGATTAAATTGGACTGAATTGATCCAGTTCCGGTTCGGTCTTTTCGAGAATATAAGGACTAAAAATTGGATTGGATATAGTTCGTTCTTGGCCCGGTCCGGTCACAATTCGGCCTTGATTTTAGATTGAGCTTGTGGAAATTTGAGTGGCCTGAGATCTCAAAAGATGAGGAGTTGGTTAAGTTTTGGGTGTTGGAGTCTCTTATCCGGTCTTTATCCGATTTTCAATCCGGTCCCAAACGGTTTGTTATCCAGGTTTTTTTTACCTCAAATCTAAGCCTAAATATGAGATTGAATTGTTTGCTATCCGGTTCCGGTCCGGGTTATACGATCCAGTTTTGGGTAAACCCAAAAAGACCGGACCAAATAGCCAGCCCTAGCTCGGGTCCATCCACTCCAACAGGCGCACGCTCACCACCCCTGAGAAAGATAAGAAAATGCTAAGGGAAAGAGCGACCCAAAACACTCGAACTCGTGAATACCGTCATTCCACGAGTATCCAAAGAAGGCGCGTCAAAAGGCGGCACGACACGGAGAACATCATCTTCCCCAGACGGACAGGGCAGACCGCGCCGGTCACCAAGTGAGGCGTCCGCGCGACAGCACTACCGCGCATAAAGAGTAGGGACGACACCGTATTACTGACAAAGCTGTCACGTCTTATTTATAGACCTCAGCATACCCTAATCTTCTGTCTCTTCTTCCAAATATCATGTCACCTCGGAAAGACAGAAACCCATCCACCGGAAGGTAGCCTATAAATAGAGCATTTACCCCGGTGGATGAGGGGATCGATTTCTAAATTCTCTTCCTAGAAAACTAGAAACTTCTCTCTCTCCCCCTCGAGCCTTATCCCTTGTAATCTCGTAAAAGGTTAAGGATAAAAGCGAAAATTCTTTTACCTTCACTTACACCCTACTCTTCTCGTGTCTCACTCCTACACTCTGTTAAATATGGTCTATTTCTTAGATATGAACCATGAATCTCTTTTATACTTTGTCGATGTAGTATTTGGCTAATATATTAGAAATATTCTTTGAAAAAAAACCCATTTTATTACAACAACATTATACAAAAGCATTTATTCGGTGCGAAAATATTGCAACAAAGGATTTGTCTTTCTTCCATGGATTCCTAGCTAGCTAACTCATGCCCCCATATAACTAAATTCAATTCATTTTTTTGGAACCGATACCATATTTTCCAATCTTCGATACCAAAGAATCAGGATCGCATACTCTGTTACATTCCGCCGAACAAGCTTGTGTTCTTCCGGGGCACTTGTCCATGCAATCGCTGTAACAATCGAAGGGTTCCACGGCGCCGCCATGGCATGGAGGAGGCAACACAGCAACTGAGAATAGCAGAAGAGCTACAACGACAAGAAACAGCATGGAGGATTTCATGTCGGAGATGTTTTGAATTTTTTTTTCTTGATATCTGAATCAGAAATTCTGAAAATCGAAAAGAGATAAAGCTTGGTGCAGTAGTGAGCACACATTCATGCCGTTTTATAGCGTTTGGTAGCTGAGTTTTGAAGTCCACAGAAACTGAAGCAGAGATTTTTTTCTTCGATATCTGCATCATAACTGTGAATTAAATGTCCCGTGATTTGGTTACATATTTGGATTCGTAATGATATGGTAAATTGAGGTTGTAAGAGTTTATTCCTATTATTTGAGATACCACTTAATGATGAATATCTCTCTTTTTTCCCCCTTTTGATACTATGATCAAGAAGGTGACGGAGATCTTCCACGGTTGTGCACGTAAGTATTGAGAACTACAAATGTTGGTGATGGTAGTAGAGCAAAACTCCCTTTTTGGCACTCTGGTGTGGTGCTATCACCCATTCGGAACGTCTCATCCAAAGAGTCTATTGAGTATCCATATGCAATCATCAGGGGGGAAATAGTAAGTTTTTGGTTTGGGGGAATGAGTCGCAACTTGTCACATCTTTTTATCTTGCTTGAAGTAGTATTGAACAACATCATCCATGATTCGGTTGAATAATAAAGTATGGTACATTCAGAATGTGAAAGCCCTAGCGTCGTAGGTTGAATTGCGACGAAATAATCTTGTATCTAATTTCTTGTAACCGTCTTCCTTGTTACGTCTTATTCATTTTCGTGAAGGTGAAGTATGACGAGATGATGTTGCTTGTTGTTGATGCGCGAGAATTTCATACATCATGAACATTTTTTTTTATGTTCAGGCTCAAGGTGGCACACATACTTATTGATTATCATAAGCTTTTCCTTTGCCTCTCGTAAGCTTCCCTTTACCCTCATCAACTTCTCTTTGTCTCTCATCATCTGGTGTTCTGCTAGGGGAATCCATGAAGCAAAAGAGTGTTTTTGGCTAGAGAAATATATGAAGGCTCAATGGTTTTTTTCAAGACCGAAAGTTGAATGATGAATGAGTAGAATGACCTAGTATGAGGGTTCGTATATAGAAGCACGAAAAAAGATTCTTTTTGTGATAGTTTAGCACTCACATTAGCATTTTGACACTAGACCATTGTGAATGACCTGAAGAATTAAAAAGACAATTTTCAACGAGAACGTTGAGTCGTAATACATTAAGCAAAACCAATATATAAAAAACACGAGAAAGATCTATTGTTCATCATAAACAATTAAACCTTAATTGACAAGACGAGTTTTAGCGTGAAATAAAGAGCACTTGTTCAAATTTTGAGCTAAATGTGTTCATTATTGAACAATGGAAAATTGATGATTTTCTGATAATTCACCATGATACACTAATCCAAAACTATGGAAAAATAATCGAGATGACAATATCTGTTTTTTTTTTTATGCGAAGATGGACAATATCTCGATGAAAAAGAATTGAATACCTTACGCATCTTTGACTTCGTAATTCTTAGCCTCCACGGCTTCCTGTTCAGACGCGGCAAATCCACCATCCCCTTCCCTCCGCCATTCTTTCTTCCCAAACCCTACAAAATCACATAATTGTACAACATGAAAGTCACCGGCGCTTCAATCGCCTTCACATTACGCTTCCCTTACAACAACACTTTGCATCAGCTCTTCCCTTCCCAATTCCTTCCCTCATCTTCTCCCCTCTCGTTTTCATTCCGTCACAAAAGAACCATGCCTCAATCTCCGGCCCGTTGCTCTGCCGCTTTCTCTTCCCCAGCTTCCGACGCCGCCCTGCTGCCGAGCGACCCGGTGGTTAAGCCTAAACAACACCCATGGCTTATTGTTGGTCTGGGTAATCCCGGGAAGAAGTATCAGGGTACTCGCCATAACGTCCGTAACCAACCTTTTCCCCCCTCTTTAGATTCTGCTGTTATTTTCCATCATTGGGGTTAGTTCTTAATTTTGATTCAATATTTGAATTGGGTACTTGATTTTTGCAGGTGGGTTTTGAGATGGTCGATGCAATAGCTGAAGCTGAGGGGATATCGGTGAATACTGTCTCCAACAAAGCCCTTTTTGGAAGAGGTTCCCAAGTTTTCCCCTTTTCACTTGAATATGAGTCTCTCTTGTAAAATCTTGTGTACTTACAGCATAGGTTGTTCCTTGAATTCCAGGTTTTATTGGCAATATCCCTGTAATGCTTGCAAAGCCACAAACTTTCATGAATGCAAGTGGTGAGTCTGTAAGTAAGCTCATCAAATCTGCAAGCATCTTTTGATACCTGATCCCTTGCAGTGGGGACTGTAATCCTTAATGTTCCATAATTGCAGGTTGCACCCATTGTCTCATACTACAAGGTTCCACTGAAGCAAGTGCTCGTGGTAATTGTTTGGTCCTCTTTTAGTCCTAACATCTTTGGACATGGCTTCTCTTTCAATGCTCATATAAGTGGTTGATGTGGTCTTGCAGATATATGATGACTTGGATTTGCCTTTCGCCAAGTTGAGATTGTTGCCAAAAGGTGGACATGGTGGACACAATGGGTATACTCCTGCATACTATATTAGTATATTACTTCTCATGGATCATGATATCATGTGTGTCAAAGTCCAGAATTTCATATTTTGCAACCCTCCCTTTTGTCTCCAGGATGAGAAGTGTCATTGATCGCCTCAAAGGTAGTCGAGATTTCCCTCGATTAAGAATTGGTATGTTGGGTGCTCCTTAAGCTACGTCGAATGTGTAAAACTATTATCTCTTTGAGTAAGCATAATAACTGTTAGCTGTTAATGCAATCACTGTATAGGCATAGGGCGGCCTCCTGGGAAGATGGATGCTGTGAACTTCGTTATGCGCCCATTCAACAGACAAGAACGCGAAGAGGTAAAGATTGATTGCTCGAGAGAGTAACGGGTGTAAAGTGTTTGTTGGAAACATGTAAAGCTTTGATGCTCAACTGAATTTGTTTGATTGTTTGGCACAGTTAGATATGACATTTCAACAAGGCGTCGAAGCTGTGAGGATTATGTTGCTGGAGGGGTTTGACAAGAGTGCAACGTTTGTCAATAGCTCCAAACCCATGGAGCAACTTGGTTAGTCAATAGCTGAACAAGATCGCCATTGTTTTACAGATATTGGTTCAGAGAATAATGTCCAGTGCTGATTATAGATTCTCAAAGGAACAGAAGGAATATAAGCTAGATTTCGCACGAGGAGATTAATTCTTTGGCGACATGATTTATTTGAAGCTCGACGGCCGTCACAATTGATTGGATATGTT